TTCCTCAAGCAACCTAAGGAGCACAAATCAGCCACAGGCTGGCACGGCTGCCTGGCTGGCAACTGCTGGAATGCCAGGGCTTTGATGGAGACCCGGGCTTGCAGGCTGGGGGCTGGGCGATTGCACAGAGGCACCCGCAAGGCTTTTTAGGCATTTGCTTCTGCTTCTTCTTAGGTCAAGACAAAACGCTCTTTCTTTTGTGCACCTGGCTTGGCTATCTGTATGTAAATTCAGAATGGAAACTGCTGCATAGAAATAATGCCATATAGGCTAGCTAGGAAATGTCACTTCCAAAATGCTAATATGCAGATAATTAGTATAACTTTTAAGATTTATCTGTTTAAATGCTCATATTATGCATACATAATATGCAGTTATAGTTAATAGTTTCCAGCTCAGATATCTCAGAATTTTGTAAGAGAATTTGATTAGGCTGATTACTTTTATACCTTGTTTAATACTATAATTTCAATATAAAACCTAATCTGGGCAACTTCTAGCTTCATATGGCTCCATTGGTTTTTTAGTATGCATGCATTTTCAATCATTTTTGTAAATGCTCTGTTAATATAATTTTTATTCAGCAGTTTTTGGGCCTCTGAAAACAGATAATAGTTACTATGAATTTGAGCGATAGTGCTTTAAAAAAGTACACATTCCTGAAATAAAAGGTGTCAGTTTTGATCAGTACATTATAACCCTTAGCAAAACAGAAATTTACAAATCCATATTGCGGTAAAGATATTAAAAATCCCCCAAGTCTGTAAGCAATGAAAACAGATTATATGATATCCTAAGTCATTCAAGCTAGTACTTACAATTTCACTGCAAAAACCAAAAATAATGTAAAAAAATATTTCTTGTCAGTCCTTCCCTTCTTCAGGGAAAGAGGAGACTAAATAAAATAAACTATAGATTAATTAGTGTCCAGGCTAAAATAAATAAAAAAAGTAAATTTCTTTTGGATCTGATATTAGTGTGATTTAAACTATGGAAAAAAAGCCATGGGAAGAAACAAGACCAAATGCTTTAGTATGTGCCAGAGCAGTGATTGCCAATTTTTGGGATGCAATGTTTTTGCAAATATTTCCCCTTTGCACTGAAAAGTTCTGAAAAAGGAAAAAAAGATTGAATGTTGAATCATTTTCATAAACCTGCTCTCAAACTACTGAGATAGCTAAAATAGGTTCTCTGGATCCATGCTCCACTTATACAACCAGATTTGCACAGGAGAATAGTTCACAAAGCTATTCCTGAGTTGCTCCTAAGGCTGAACTTTTTTATTACAAAACCTACAGTATTTTTTCTCTGTGTAGTTTCAGCCACTTAAACAGATGTGTGACAATCAAAAGATGAAAAAACACAGCTATACTCAAAGCTATTTGACAAAAAGCATTTCTAGTCCATTGGACATTCAAGCAGTTGAATATTTTTACCTGTGAGTGGGAAGAAAGTCTGAATTCACCACGGAATATAAAATCTAGCACTTTCTCAAAGTATTTTGAGAATTTGAGTAATAGAGTAAATAAAACACATAAATAAACTGTAATATTAAAAGAAAATGCATTCAGCAATGGAGTTGAAAAATTATGAAGTCAGAATGTTTTCATAGTTTCTTGTTCCTCACTTGATGTTTGAGGGATACTTTTCCATTTTAACAAGGCTTCATTCTTTTCAATAGAAAACATTTAATCTGAAAATGTTTTAGCCCATCCTACCTACAAACCTGAATATGCAGAAGCTCAGATACACACTTGTACACCATGTCACCCCCACACAAACTCTTCTATGATAATTCATGGTCTCCATCTCCATCTCCATCTCCATTTTGGTAATAGTACCAGAAACCTCTCGAAACCCAGCGTCATCAGATTTAATGCTACAAATCATCAGCGCCAAGAAATCACAATAATACTTGATCTTAGAATAAAAAGTGGCAAAAGAGTTGTGGTCACTATTTTTTCCTTCAAAAGGGAAATATACAGACATAGATCTGGTGTATGGGGATTTTATATTCAAAAGAAGCAAGTAGCTATGATGGCTGATGGATGTTTTTAAGAATCCTGTTTTGGCACAAAAAATAACGCAGTGCATTCCCCCTGCCCCTTATTCCCTGTAGCTTTACATAATTAGTATAATTTTTTATTTTGGGTTTTAACTTGTACATAACATGATAGAAAACATTACTGGAAGGGACCTTGAGAGGTCATGCAGTCCAACCCCTACCCCAGGGCAGGATCTGTTCTTCCTGCACTGGTCCTGAAAGATGTCTGATCTGTTTTTAAAGTCAGTCTATGAAGGGCAGGGGGTCACTATCATTGTTGTCTGCTCCAGGGCTCCAAAATCTTCATAGTGAAGCTCCTCCAAATGTCTCATCTGAATCTTCCTTGTTGCAATTAAACAGATTACTGCTTCACCATGGCTACAGGGAGGAGATAAATATCTTTACTTCTGCAAAAGCCTCATACACTTGCAAATTTGGGGAGAGTGAAATTGCCTAGCTTTTTCCATAATTACTTCAGCTTGGGAATTCTAACGAGACTTTGGTTGGAGGTAATTGTTTAGGAAGTGCATAAGCAGCAGCTTGGAAATAATACTAATACTTACTGAGGGGAATAGCCTGCCCTTTGGGCTCTCTGTAAGCCAGCTGGACATAACCTAATTCAGACCAGAAAGTCTGCATGAAAGCAGATCAGGTGTGAAAGACAGCTATTTACGTACTCAGGAAATAGCTATGTACTTCATGACACACAGTACCCTAAATTCTCCCAATAATGAAAGCTATAGACCTATCATCCACTGAATAGTGAATACAATATCCACTTTTTTTGTGATCACGCAGACACCATTAAGATACATTCAGGAGCCACCAGCTACTGCAGTACACCACAGTAGGCTACACAGAAATTACAGACAACATGATGAGAAATTACTGCCCTGATTAAAACTCTAGGTCCTCAACTAGCCAATATGAATGCCAGCATGATTTAAAGTGCCTGCTGTACCCAGCAGATGCCTTAATTTCTGCATGGGACTTCACTGTCTCCCAAACCAACTGTCTTGCCCAACTTGCCTATTGGAAACAAGTGGCTGTGTCTGCCACAGTTAAATGCTGACTTTACCCTCTGTGGAAGTGGATGGCTATTCCCAGCCCACCCAAAGCTGTGCTTTGGTCTCTCAGCATACAGGACAGGGCTAACTCACGAGAAGGAGAACACTTGCCCTGCCAATACAACACTTTCTCATTCCTCTGTGTATCCTCATTGTACTTCTGTGTCCTCTTGGCAGGACCTAAAAAGATACACTGTGGATGCACCAAAGCACAGTTAAATATTACAGATGTGTGCTAATGCTTTGGGAAGGTGCCCGCTACCAAAGCCCTGCCAATTTACAGATTATTGTAAGACTACCTTAAAGCTGGCAGCAGTACCATCCCACCTGCTGATTTTGTCAGGGATCAGCATTTCTAGCCCTGTCTCCACTTCAGGACACAATATGCAGTGAAGCAGCACCTGCTGCTCTTGTTTCTCTGATGGGCATCTACAAAGGCTGGAGAGTAGATACAGGTGCTCAAAGTCCTCCTGCACCCTGCCTCAGCCAAATGTACACTAACAGAAATATGAAGTTATCTCAGAACACAGATGTTTGGCTTTGCTGCCACTGCCTGACACTGGCACTTTATTTTCTTTATCATGTGTGTTGAATTGAAAGTTTTTTTTTTAGGCCCTGACCTTGGAAGCAGTTGCTACTGCATTTCATCATAAAGACAGAAGAAAAGAAGAGGAGAAAAAAAAAAAATTAGAGGGACTTACTGAATTTTCATGATGTCCTTTGTAATCCTGAATAGTTGAACTAGAGGGCCTCTTAATAGTTTTACTTATCACACTAACACTACCACTCCTTCATAGACATCTTTTTACCCAATCTCATAATGTCTTTCATGTAAGTTAAAAATACACATATTTTTTCAGTTGGCAGAAACAACTGAAAAAAACTGTGTTAATTCTACATTGACCTTTTTTGAAATAATGGTTTCTGTTTTAAGCCGCATTTTAGTTATGATTTGCTTAGTGTATCAGTTGGCAGTTCATTTGGAGATTAAGTTGCCTATAAAGCCCATATGTGAATTCTCTGGTTCTACTAGTTTATCTATAAATTGTTATGATCTCCTTTAGTCAATATTATTGAAGATTGTGTAAAACGCTTTGCTAATCTGTCTGATATGAACAGGCATTGATGACTTAATCAGTGTAACACAGGCTAAAGCAACTCACTGAAAAGATATTTTCTGAGGTTGGTAAAATTAAAAGTCCTACTGTTCCAGTAATACCTCTTGCTGTTGTGCTTGCACCTGTACATGCCATGGTGCTGGTGGTTTCTGTGTTTTCAATTGATTCCTACAGGAATGACACTTCCCCCATGGCCCACATTTCTTTTCTCAGCTTCCTCCATCTGCATCCACCTGTGTGAAAGCCTGCTGTGCAGTCCAGGAGATCCTTCCTATGTACTTGCCACTCAGTGAAACACAACCTTTTGCTATCCACCCAGATGTTATTTTTGGGTGAAAGACTATGCAGAAACGCTTTTACTTAATAAAGTAAAAGCAGCAGCGAAGACAAATTTCTTGTCAGTATTTGCAGCAGAAGAATGTCAATCTAATGAGCAAGTGGGATGAAAATCTAGTTTTTGATGCAAATCTACAAACCCATGGTTGTCTGAGTTACAAATTTCTTGACAAGAGTGAAATGTTGTCTCACTATTATTTCAATATATAAAACTGAAGTTCAAAATAATGAATTCAAAATTATTCAGACCCAATGTTCAGAAGAAGTCAGACAAGTAAGACACAGGAAGACAGCATGGGAAATTAAAAGTATCTTTTTTGTGCTTTTTTGTTATCAAGGGTCAACTTTACTGTTACTTCACCCAGCAATATTTCAAATGGTCCTGCAGAACTCAATAATAACTATAAGGCATCCGACTTTATTTTATGTACTTACTCAAAAAAAGTGGTCCATCCAGTCTCATCACTTTTAGTGGCCAGAAGTCCACTGTTGCCATGGTAGGTAAATAAGACCAGCTCCTGCCCTTGTGCAGTCATGCTTTTCAAACATCCATTGGTGCCTATGGTCAGCCAGATGACTTGGTTATCAGGAGAGACCACTCTTACTGGCATCCGGTTGGGATCCCGCCTGATCCGAAGAGTATTCCCATTGCTGTCTGTTACCGCAGTAATATCATTGTCATTACTGTAGCTAAAATTGTACAGGTAGTCTCCGGTGACTAAACTCACAGTGTACTGGTGAGTACCATTGACATCAAAGATATACAGCTCTTGGTCAGTTGGAGAAGCAACTTCATAGAAGTTCATTGAATTCATTAAGGGTTTGTTCTTTGACACAGCCCGTATCCTAATGTTTCCCAGATCAGCAATATACAGGGTGCCATCTGGAGACACAGCTAAGGAAGAAGGGGCATTAAGTTTGGCATCTTTAGCATAGCCATCTCCATTTTGGTAGCAGTCACAGTTAACATCATTTTTGCAATCACACTCTGAGGGTATTCCAGCAACTAAAGAGATCTCTCCATCAGTTGTGACTTGTCTTATCCTATTTATCTTTTTTTCATCAGTTTCTGTAATGTAAAGCACCCCGCTGTAGGACACGGCAATGGCAGTGGCTGACTCCAGCGTGGTCTGGACAGCGTGTTTGCCCACAGTGTACTCCACCCCGGGGACCTGGCAGTGCATCGGCCTCCCTGCAGCAATGCGAACCTGACGGTTCTCAGTTATCTGCAGAACCACGTTGTTATCCAAAACATAAATGGAGTTATCCATTGGGTTTATAGCTAAATCTGTAGGCCATTCCAGACGAACCTAAACAAATAGAAGTGTTTTGTTAAACAGTTAACCACTGCAGAATAAATTAATTAATTAGCCTTCAGTTTTAGACACGGCTGTAAGGATATTTCCCATCTGCTGTAAGTAATCATGACTGAAGAACTTGCATGAATACATGCAGCAAATTAAAGCTTTTCAGGGAGGTAAGCGGAACAATATTCAGGTATCCATTTTATTGAAAAGAAAGGCAGTTGCATTGAAACTGTAATACAGGCTGAGTTTCCCCTTCAATAAATGCAATACTTTTCTGTATCACAAATGCATAAATGACTACGGAGACAGATCTCAATGTCTAAATACTTGTCAACAGTATTCATCTTTTATTCTTGTAGTAGCAAAAATTTTGTACTACCTTCCAGATTATGAAACACTGTACTCCATCCTTTGAACATACCACTATTGACATAGCCCTTCTTACCTACACAAGTTTTTAAGACAAATAGAAAAATGCAGGGGTTTTGTGTAAATCCTTTCATTCACTACAGTAGGCTAAGGATGTCAACAATTCAGAAAACATCAACATGCCAAGATAGTTCTAACAGATATGCCATTCTCCCAGTATTTACTACCAGGCTTAATGTTTTCTGCTGATAGTTTTGCTGTTCTAAACCAAACTGAACTTTATGGGCAGGAAAATTGAATACAGCAGCTAAGAGGATACAGTGCAATTCACGCCTGTGGAACAGGTTGCTCTCTCCCCCAAACCTGCTGTTAAATATCCATCACACTACACTTAGTTTTATTTTAAGGGGTGCAAAACTGCATTTCAGTTTCTACCTCCAGCTCAGCTTTCCAAATTAGCAGCAACTGAAAAGTACCTGGCTGATGTGCATGCTGGTATCACAAGTTAGAGGTCGTGCCGAGGTGAGATCATTTGAGCCAAGCAAAGTCGATATTATTCCATTCTGATCCACTTTTCTGATCATGGTCCCATCAACAAAGTAGATTAACCCATTCTTGTCTATTGCTATTCCTTCAGTGAAGCAAATAAAAATTAGGGTTTCTCTTGTTGTACTAGCAGTGAATATATTATCCATAACTAAAGGTAGAGGTAGCATGTATACAGTGGAAATTGTAGGCAGAAAATCTGGTCTCAGGAAGTAGGTAGTAACACAGCTTGCTAATGTATTTTGCAAGAGAAACCGATATTCAGCATGAAATACACTACTGTTGATTGCATTTGCTGTTCATTTGCTTTTGTGTGTTGGAAAGGGAGTAGCTTTTAAGTTAACTTTAAATATGGGATAAATGGAAACAAAAGCAACGTTCATCTTAGATATTCACTGCTGCCTGCCAAACACATAATATAAATGCTCTTATTGAGCATTTAAAAATGTTCAATAACCACTCAAGCCAAATACTTCCTAAAAAAATCACCCCTAATTGGTTTCAAAAAAATCAGTCCCCTGTAGCTCTCTTCCTCTATAGACTTTCTACTTGGAAAAAAATAACTCAAATCCCCAATTTTTGAGCCAACTATTGAATTCAGTAACTAAACACAATTATGCCCCCAGCTCCAAAGTTTTGTATTATTTTGAATGTTACAGAGGGAGAACTCTTTTTACCTTTAGGGCTCATGAGAGTTGCCTCCACCGCCTTGCCTCCATCACCACACCTTGCCTCATCGAATGGCAGGCACTGCTCTCCTGTTCCTCCTATTACCTCAACATTTTTGGTCAGGTCTTTTGCACCAGTGAGTGACTTGGGCCGATAAATCCTGCGTGTGTTTGTGTCAGAAACATACAAATCTCCCGTCACAGGGTCAGTTGCGAGGTAGTATCTGTGAGCTGGGTTGCTGCTGTAAAATGGAATCACACATTGCATATGCTGTAGTTAATTGCACCTAACATTGGATCAAGGAGAAAACTGTTTAGTTCCTATGCAGTGTGAAGTAACGCAGACAGAGTTAAAGTCAATGGTGATGCTCCATGCAGGTAGCACTGGTCATGGCCCCAAAATGGTTTTGGTCCACATTTCTCATCTGTGTCACAGGCAGCCCAAACTAGATTAATTCTCTGGGGAAAGAAGGTCCATTTTGTCTTTGATGCTCTTACGCCAGTTCAGGCTCTCTCATTAGAGACTGCAAATGTCTCTTTAATAAACCAAATCAAAATACTGGAGTTTAAAACCCTCTGAGAGTTGTGGGAGCCCTGATCTAGTCCAAAATTTTGTAGCAGGAGCCCAGCCCTCACTTACACTTTGTTGGTATTATCCTATCTATTATAATTTATATAAGGCTGCTGGGGTTCATGGTTTCTGTAATTCATAAACAGATAAGACAGAGTTTGAATGATGAGTTCACAGGCAAGAGATAAGACATCATTCATAAGTATTTGTTTAATCCACTGCTTTCAAATGCGTGATACGCATGATTTAACACATTAGGAAATGTCATCTCTTCCACCAGAGACCAAGCAAAGCTTTTCCATTCTTCTTAAGTCAGAGTCATATTTCAAATAACTGTACACATTGGCACAAAACTGCTAACTATGCCAGCACAGTCTTTATTACAGTGAAAATATATATTGCTAACCATTTTCCCAGAAACGTACATTTTGCCTCTCCATTGGTGCCACATAATTGAGAATTACTGTCTTTTCTTCCCTGCTGGTGAAAAAAACAGCCCTGGAGATTACCTTTTGTGTTGATACATTATGATGTAGAAACTTAACCCACTGCAGTTGGGATTCCTGACCTAATTTATGGCATGAAGAGCTGAAATAAGGTCATGTAAATACATGAGGTAATTTCAAATGCTCCCCTCATGGATTGAAGCAGTGTCAGAACAGTCACTTCTGATGTTTGCAAAAGCACTGCTTAAACAGATCTACCAGTCTGGTGGTAGCCAAACATCTGTTCACAGAATGCTATACTTCACGTTTTGTAAATACATAACTGTGCTAATGTAACACATTTTTATGTACTGCCACTTGGAAAATGCAACAAGAGACCAACAGGAACAACTTGTGAACAAATTATGTCTTTTAGCAGGGACAGATTTTTATAGCTATCCAATTACAAAAACACAGAAAAAAATGTGCTGCATAAATAGGTTTTTATTTGGTTTTAAGACTTTTAACATGTTGGTTCAGAACGAATGAAACCAAGTGAAACAGGCTAATGAAATCAAATACGCAGTGATTAGCACCTCTTAAAAAGCTCTGCTATTGCACTGAGCACTGTGCAGCATGTCTGAAAACAATCAAATGCAGGCCTACTTTAAGTTTCTGTCTGTTACAAATCTATTATTGCCAATGTGCTAAATAGTTAGAAGGTATTTTCAAAACCTTAATTTATGCAGTGATCATTTAATATGATCACTAAGTAATGTACGAATTATTTATACCTCCAAAGACTGCAAATTAAATTATACCCATTTACATGATTACTTTGGTCTTTAAGAAACTTTGCAAACACTTCAAATATAAACACATTGCAAGATGTGAAATGTGCAATTAAATTTTATTTCATTGTAATTTAAAATAAAGTTCTTTCTTATACTACTGAAATCTAAATTAAAGTACCTCTCTTCAACCCATCTAACACTGCCTCAATCATATTTTTCAGCCATCCGAATAAGAAGTCATCAAATCAAAAAGTAAGTAATTTATGCCTAACACAATTATTTATATCCAAAAAGAAGTTTTAAAGCTCTTTTCTTTATAAATATGGAGAAGTACATTCTAATTAATTCCAACAAAAAAGAAATCAGGGGATGAGTTCTCATGGTAAGTAGTGTATCCTCATCAAACCAAAAAAATACACCTGATAATTTAAATGTATTTTCTCATTTTATTAAAAAACCCTCCAAGTTTGGAATTGCATAGGATATTACTACTGAATCAATAGCAACTCTCCAACTTGCCATTTGTAGATGTCTAATGGCTCCTTTCTGAGCTGATACAACAGGCTTAACCTCAGCATTTCTTTTCAGGTGAAGGTTAAACAGCTGAGGAGGCTTTAGGCAATAAAAACCCCCAATAATTTATGGGAGAAAGACACAATTTGGGGAACTGAATAACTGTCAAGTGAAAACTACATTTGTTTTCCTGGCAGAAAACATTCATGTGCACTATGCAGATCTCAAAAATAGTACAGGGATAAGCCGCCAGCAGCTGGAAAGCTACAGAGTTTATGCAATTTCACTGTACCCTGAAATGAAATTAAGCTTCTGCCTTCTACCAATAACAACAAATGCAAAGAATTGAAATCCCCAGCCCGTGACTTATTGACTCATTCAGTATTGCCTAATCACTTTCAGTAGCCTGCAAAACATGGAGTTACATACCCACACTGGCTCCTGTAAAGACATGTCTAAAAATTAACTTCTGTTCTGTCTATGCCAGATAGTAAGTGCTTTGAACTGAAAGTATGCACACATGTGCACAGAGCTGTAATGATCTATTTCCCTTTGCTTTTATCTTGCTTAGGCCAATCTTTTAATTCTTCAGCTCTCAGGTCACCTGGAGTATTCTCCATCTGTTGAAAATACTCCTACTGCTCCAGTCCCTGTCTTACCTTCACTATGTACCCTCTAAACCATATATCCCCTCAAAGCTGTTTTTATGTTTTGTTAAACTTTTTTTTTCTGCCTCTCTGCAGATTTGGGATAGTGCCATAGCCTACAAAAGACCTCCCTGTCTTCAAAGTCCTTCTAAAAGTGACTTCTTCCATGAATGTCTATCAGCATTAATCACCCACAGGCAGCAGTGTGTATAAAGACATCATTTCAGCTTTGAGATTGAAAAAATGTGAGGTCACTGGTACATGAGTGGAGAAATTTGATCTGCATTCTCTCTCAAAAATAGAGTACAGGCTTCTTGAGGTAGGAGATACATCACACTGTGCTGAAGCACTGTTTATAGGCCAGGAAAGGTGAATGCTTGAATAGATAAGAGATCTGAACTAGTATTTAGCCTCCATCATTCAGTAGTGTTACTTGGGGAATGCATTTTTTAGTGCATTTTCTTCTAATACCTAGCAATTATCTTTTGCAAAGTAGTCTGTTGAGGGCTGTTTTCCAAACTGCAGTTTAAGTAGAAATCTCAGCAGTCTGAAAGGCTTGCCAGTGAAACTGGACATTTGCTCCCTTCTCCTCTTACAGGCCAGACAGATGTGCTTCCCTCTCCAGCATTTCACAGGACTCTGCACAAATTCATGCAGCCAAAAGAAAGTAGTTGGTCTCACAGGGTGTCCTTAGCTGTAGTGCCCATGGCAAGAGGATTTGGTGGATCCTAAGAGTTCACATGTCTTAAATAAAAAGCAGCTAAATTAATAGAATAAAAAGCTGCAGGGGATATTAAGCATAAATATCCCACTCTTGGCTTAGGAAGTCTCTCATCAGCAAATCTCTAAGGCTGAGAGTGGACACTGGGAAAATGTTTATGATGTGAGAGAAAACTCAGACTTGTAATAAATTGTGTTGGGCTGCACAGTGGGCTCCACACCTCCTGCCTACTGGGTCCACAACTGTTCCTGCAGAGCCAGTCCCCCACAGTCCTCTGTCTCCTGCCTCAGGAGGAGCCCCCACTTCACAGCTGCTATGTGGGCCCATGCTGTTACACTAATTTGTGTGGTATGATTGTAATTTTGCTACCCAGAGCTTCTGCATGTTTAGGCATGAATAAAGCAGAAAAGCTTCAGTATTCTCCCTCATCAACTTCTCTTACATGCAGGGGATCCAGTTTCTGAAATGCTGCAGTTGAGGCTGTGACCACAAATCTGCCAGAGGCAGGAGGGGGTGGCGCTACTAAATCACAGCAAAACAAACCTCAATAGTATCCACTCTTTAATCCTTTTTTGTACATTCCACATCCCCATTTTAAGTATTATTACACATTCTGTGTATTTGCCAAGACAATGTCCTATCTAGGTGCAATCACACCTTTGTGATACCACAAGTGATATCATTCTTTCAATAGCAGTAGAACACATAAAAACTAATTGCAGTAGTGAAACCCTAAACCCACCAAAGAGAAGAGACTGCCTCTGAGTCATTCCTGGAAAAAAACCCACAAAACCAATTCTGATCATTAGCACTGATGCACACACCTTATTTAGTCATGGAATTCTTTTGCCTAATAGATCTGAAACATATTTTTTAAAACATAAAACCTTCCTCACACAGAAGTATGTCCAAAGAAAAGTGAATTTAAGAAAAAAGACGTAAGAGATAGGACTCTGGGATTTGTTTAAAAACAAGGAAGGAAAATGGCAGCAAAAGGAGAGAAAGGTACCAATGGGCTTGCTAAACTGTATACTTAGCAGATCTGCCACAAAGGTTTGCAGGGTTTCATGTCTGCAACAAGATTTTAGCATGACTTTTTTTTTCCTCCTTATCAGGACCAGCTGCTGTGGCAAAGCAATTCTAAGCATCCACCTACTCTTCTGTTCTTGCCATTATTGTAGAGATGCCAGGATGGATGAATACTGTACTACAATCCTCTGATTACTGTTGTTTCTATGACTTATTTTTTAAGTCTTGGTGTATTTTAAAATCTTAACTCCTGGAGTTGTGTTATTGTTATCTCAACTTCCATTATTAAAAGAAGCTCACCTTTAAAGGAACAAATCTGTTAAATGAGAGCCTGAAAAGATTCAGCATCAAAAGGCTAATGAAATGAACTCCCTTGATACTTTCATATGCCATTCTCATCATACTTGATGTATCTGATTAATGAGTGAGTTTTGATAGGATCAGCAGAAGTGCTGCTAGCAAGGAGTGAGCAGAGATGAAGGAACAGCAAAGGAGGGCACACACAAGCATAACAAGAAGCCTGACTGTGGACAGAGAGTGATGAGAAAAGAGGAACTCATCAGAAAGGACGATACAGCCTGACAGTTGACATAACTAAAACATATGAACTCATTATTTTTGAAAAATACTCCTCTTTTCTAGTAATACATCTCAGAAATGACTTGCCCATTATAAGCATTCATTTGTTAAAAAAGAAAGAAGAACAGTTAGAAAAATATAAATCTTCTTTAAGGAATGCTTACCTATGTCTAAAATCTTTATTTCTTGGTGGGAGCAAGTAAAAAAGAACAGAAAAACATTATTAGACAAACATTCAGAAAGGATGTTAAAAGATGAGAAGAAGGCAACATTTACATCTATCATTAGTGAAGTGGTGAATGATTCTCCCTTGTCCACTTATATTGACCACATACGTTAACTCATAAAATCTGCAGAATTATTACTTTGGGTAGATTAAACTCTCACATTTAGAAAAGCATAGTTAAAATATTTTAAGAGGATAAAATGTTTTCATTTCAGTTCTAAATACTTTAAAAATCTTTTGACTCAACTTTTGTTCCCAAAAGCATTCGCGAACTCAAACTTCCACGACGTTAGAAATTTATTTAATTTCTTTGTTTCTTTTTATTTCTTAATTTTTTTTTCTTTTAAAAAAACTTTAATTTGCCACAATAACTCATAACTCCAAAAGTCCAGGATGAAAAAAAAACATACCTTAGCTCCAGAACACTAGTTACATTTCCAGATGGGAATATCCGCCGAACGTAGTTGAAATCCCCCACGTACAGACTGCCATCTATCCCACAAGCTAAGGCAACCGGAGCCAGTAATTTATTACCATCAGCTTGACCATTACAGCTTGGACAGGAGATGCTGCGTCGTCTCCCGTTGCCCATAATGCTACTAACAACTGGGGGTTGCTGAGATATAAATTGATTTTCGCCATTCCCTTTGTAGAGGATTCCTGCCAGATAATAAAGAAAAAAACCAAACCAAAACCCAATAACATTCATAAAAACTCTGAATGTATACATATAAAATGACGCAAAAGTATTCTAAATATTCTTTTAGCTAGTTAGCGTAAGTTTAATGAATTTTTATTGTTTCACAACCATATTTTTCTCACTACAAAAAACAACTTTATTAAAACATCTATAGTTACATTTAGGTATACACATGCAAACATTAGATTATCTTGTCCACAAAATTTAGTAGAAACACTAAATATTGTAGCTCTTAAAACCCCAAAATATTTTCACTCACTATTTCTAAATGTTAATGATTTTTATAGTTATAATTCAAAATAAAAATTTTCATGCTGAAGGAAATGTAAAGCATATTAACGGAAGGAAGGTCTGTGTTTCTGCATCCTTACAGTTTTGAAATAGCCCAGAAAGGACTGAAATTCTAATGTGCCTTATAAAAAAAGAAAAAGAATGTATTTGCAAATTGTATTCCTAAAGTCCTAGTATAATTAATTATGAATATAATGTCAAATGTAATCTGAAGTGGATTACTGTTGCAAATTGTAAATATTAATTAAAGAGCCACTTCAAAAAGTTGTAGATTGCCTCAATTTTACATTATAAAAGATTCTTTACTCCGCTCACAACAGAAGTGTTCCTCTGGCAACAAAGTCTGCCTCAATACCATATCTGCAGTTATAGGCAGTTATTAAAAATGTCAAAACAAAAAAAAAATGTGGTGCCAGGCCAACCTGCCTCTAAAACTTAATTCTGCTTCAAGGCATGAAAGAAACAATAATTTTGTGAAGACAAAGCAATGTGCCAGCGGTATTTTTCTTCCTTACAGCCTATGTAGGAAATATAAGAGGAAAAATGGATGCTTTATGTTAAATCTTCAGTCTTGGGGGGAAAAAAAAAAGTATGTTAAAGTGTTGCCAAGACCCTCATTGTTCAAATCTCGTGATGAATCCATTATGGTGTCCCCTTCAAATGGTCAGCTATTATGGCTCTACTTGTAAGTCACCATATATCTTTCCGTGGTATAATCCATGTAAACCACACGTCACTTTGTACTGTACAGAGACCTGGGTTTTATTGATTGCATGCCCAGAGTTTCATGCAGTTTAGAGCTGAGGGATACAGTAATCTTTTGAGAACTTTAGAAGAAATTTAAGATGTATTTCTCTTTCCCTTCTCACTCTCAAAGTGCACGATTTGCACTGAAAGGTAGGAGAAAAAATACTTTGCTTTCCTCTTTAAATGTTTTAGGTGTCTTCACTGTTTCTCATGTTATAAAATGTGATTATAAATGTAAAACCAATATATATATGATAAAATTGGAAAAAATTAAAATGGTTTATGGAAACCTATTGGCAAGTAATCTAAATTAGTAATCTAAATCAAAAGAGGAAGAATGTATTTTTCATGACTAGTTAAAACCAGAATGCATTAACAGTACACAAAATCCCCTCTCCTATGATTACATCATTTATGACAATCATGGCACTATAATTTTACCTGAAATAGCTGAGTTCTACAATTTTCATCAGAGGAATTCTAGAAGTCAGCACAGTGCACTATTGCACCTGATTTATTCTGTCATTACCTTGAAAAATTGGTCCTTCACATTTCTCTTCTATTATCACAGACTAAAAGATGTACATTAGACTATTTACTGCAGTAGTTTGGATTTCTGTGCAAATACTGTCTGCACTCTCTTCTGAACAGATTTATGCATCTCATCCACCTTGTCATTACAACTCTCCACTTGGTTTATTCAATTAGACACACGACATTTTGAGAAGTCATTACTTGTCAAATGTACTCTTAAACATAATTTAAAGCCATCATCAATTTACCCAGTGAACAGAATCAATCTTACATATATATTTTTAATTATAGCTCTTCACATTTTTAGGTGGATTACTTTAAAATAATTTGCACAGGTTTTGTTTGTTTGTTTTTTGGTTGGTTTTTTTTTTTTTACATTTTATATTACATACAATGACACCTTTCCCCTTGATTTGGTTACCTTGTTTCCTTACCAGTCAGAAGCACTGCTTTAGGTGTTGACTACTGTGTTACACATAATAACTGTGTACTAGGGGGAGACCTTCACGGGACATCAAGTACTGCAGAAGTGACCATCTTCCTGATAATTACTCTGGATTCCTCTCTTGCATGAAAATCCAGTGCTAGCAACTACTACTTTAAGCTGCGTGACTGCTTACTTCACCTTTCCTACATGCTTCCAGACAAGTTTTTCCAAATTTCTTCCTGTTCAGCATTGAGCTGAGGTTTCCTAAACATGGCTCCCTGCAAGCAGTTGCTGAGCAGCATGCTCAAAAAATATGCTTTGATGCCAAAGTTACTGTGCAACAGCAAATTGCAGCTGGAGAGAGAAGTGAGAATATGAGCAAGCAACAGCTCTGCAGACAGCAAGGTCTGCAGAAGGAGAGGGAGGAGCTGCTGCAGGTACCAGAGCCCATTCCCCTGCAGCCCATGGGAGAAGACCATAGTGAGGCAGCTGGGCCCCTGCAGAACATGGGGGTCCATGATGGAGCACATATCCACCTGGAGGGCCAATGCCAGAGCAAGGGGATGTCCAAAGGAGGCTGTGACCCTGTGGGAAACTCATGTTGGAAGTTCCTGGAAGGGCCTCTGGACACATGGAGAGTAGGAGCCTGTGCTGGAGCAGGTTTTCTGCCAGGACTCATGGCCCCACTGGAGCCATCTGCTCCTGAAATAGTGCACCCCATGGAGCATGTCCACACTGGAGCAGTTGTGAAGAACTGCAGCCCGTGGGAAGGACTCACATTGGAGAAGTTCACAGAGACTGTCTACTGTGGGAGGGAGCCCATGCTGGGGCAGGGAAGAGTGTGAGGAGTCCTTCCTCTGAGGAGGAAGGAGCGACAGAGACAGGGTGTGATGAACTGATCACAGCCCCCATGTCCCTGCACCACAGGCAGGGAGGAGGTGGAGAATTCAGGAGTAAAGTTAAGTCTGGAAAGAAGGGAAGATTGTGCAAGTTGCTTTTAAGATTGGTTTTCTTTGTCACTATACTACTGTGATTTGACTGATAATAAATTAAAATAATTTTCCCAAGTCAATTCTCTTTTTGCCCATGATGGTGAATGCTGAGAGATCTGTCCTTGTCCTTACCTCAACCCATGAGCATTTTCCGTTTTCTCTCTCCTGTCCAGCTGGGGAGTGACTGGGTAGCTTTGATGTCCAGCCAGAGTCAACCCACCACAGCATATCCAACACAGACTGTTTGATGAATTTATTCATGCATATGTATTTTTAGGATACAGAAGCATGACATTTGATGTAAATCATAGAAACAAAGACTACCCTGAGGTGGAAGGGACCCACAGGATTACTTAGTCCAACTTCTGGTCCTGCAAAGGACAACCCCAAGAATCACACTGTGTGCCTGAGAACATTGTCTTAACACTTCCTGCCAATTCTGACTGGCTTGGTGATGTGACCACTTCCCTGGGGAGCCAGGGCATTTACCATTTACAGAATGTTCTATAATTTCCTTTTTTAAAAAATAACAGAGCTAATAGCAAAAACTCTGAATGAGATACCTGAAGTGCAGGACAGCAGAACAGTAAAATGAACAAGAAGAAAATTAACTCCTCACCATTCTGAACATCCAATACATGATGTTTATCCAATGTCCAACCACCCATGTTGGAGGCATCCAGCTCATAACCCTGCAAAATGGCAGTCCGTTTTTCCCAGAGAGTTAGATCCAAGCAAGACTCATACTCGTAACCTACAGACACTGAAATAACAGCACATGTCCTCATTAAGTACAGGATCTCATTCTGAAGAAGAGTTTAAATAATATGATTTCTTTAAACTACATATATTCTTTTGCTTTCCTAGGACACATGAAAATTCCTATGGCTTCTTTTCCATGTTGAAAATATTAACCAGAATCTTACGTTATTAAAATATTTTTAGTTATTAAGAGTAAGTGAATTAAGACAAGTACAGAGGAAAGCCATTTTGTGATGTAAGTCAGACTGCTATTGTGCTTTACTTAAAGTACACAGAGTGTGCAGACTAAACACCATAATGTATTTTTAGGCTGAGAGATACTTCATGGGAAGGAATAGAAGTCAAAAACATCACTTTTCACGTGAATGAAAAATGGGTTTTTTTTCCTTCTGAAGGAAATTTTTTCTCATAATTCAAAGCTTAGATTAGTGTTTTTTAATATGTTTTAATATCCACTGATATAATTTTATTCTGCAAAACACTTTCTACTTAATGGATACAAGAATTTGAGCTGTGCTTCCCTATGTTCAAGACAACATTAGAAGTGCAAAAATCCTCTGTAACACATACCAACAGCTTCAGATAATCCGTAGACCCTCTGATTGTATGCATCAGTTTTATCCCATATGAAGGTGTATGCCAGATTTGGGGATGCAGGGAACCATTTTTGGAAAAGTCTTCCCACCACTGCCACCATAAGATGAACCTTCATTAAATTAAATGGAATAACAGATTGGGTCATAGTAATCTTCAGCACAGATTTATATCCTGCAGCCCTGGAGCTCAAGTATGATAACTTCAAATCAGTTCCTGGTATTGTCGTTTCTTCATGAAGAACCTATACATTGTTAAGAGAAAAAACAGTATTTAAATTATTTGGAAATTGAACAAAACAATGCAGCTATCACAAGAGGCTGCCTAACATATTTCATGACAATCCATTAAGAAATGTCATCTATATTTGGTCTTCATGGTTAAAAAAACCCATAGATAAATAATAAAAACGTGAAATAAAATTTCATAGTTTTTCTAAAAGGTTAAGTCTAAGTTCTTCATTATACTGAAGCTGTTTAGTTGGTACTTTTTGCTCAAGTGTTCCAAAATTGTCTCCTTTATTTTTATGGGGGGCAAAGGAACCATGAGAAAATATTCCCAACTGATTTTTCCTGAAGAGGTAAAAAAGGATCTTTCACCTAAGTGAAAATTGCCCCTTATTATGCTGCCACCCATGTCCCAACTAATAAAGGCATGAGTAATAAAGGCAGCAGAGCCTCTAAAGAGAGCAAAGCTTGAGATTTGGGGTGAAATGCCTAATTTCTCCTGTAGGAGCAAGAAGAACTTCCAGGTATTTTATTATTTGTATTACCAGTGGATTATAAATGCTTTAAACTAGAGCATTCTTCCATTTATTTTGAAGACAGATAAGTAGGATGCCTCAGGGAAAGTTTTCCCATATTTTCTGATCAATATTCACTACTCAGATATCAGCTTATCACTTTCACATTTCAGAGAGATGGAATGAGTCAATTTCATTTTTAAAAGGTTCCTCCCCTCCTCTACCTTGTCATTTCCTCTGAGCTGAGAAGCTTTTGTGGGTGATGGATGGATGCAAAATGTTTCTGTGTAATGTGGATAAAGGCAGCCTATATTGTTCTGTGCCTCAGTCAGAACTTAAACACAGCAGCCAGCACTTGGAGTGAACAGCTACCAGGTATACTGGTTTATTGAAACAAACAAAAGAAGAAGAAAAATGTATCTAGACACATTTATAAAGGCAATGTTTCTTTGGTGGAGAGAACAAAGGTTGCAAAGAATGCTGAAGCACAAGCCCAGAACCTTAGCGGTGTTACAGGAACACTCTTAGGAAGTAAATTAAGAAAGGTTTACTTTACTTTTCTATCTCCTGGTCCTGAAGTCTGAAGACTAAACATCATTTAGTACTAGTGGAAAGCAGAATTCAGGAAGAGCTCTGTCACAAATACTAGGCTTAAGACCTTAGTAGGATCAAAACCTGGCTAGCTAAACAACTACTGGCTAACTACTAAACAAGTGCTGTTAGCAATCTATGCAAGAGAAATACTTGGACACTGCTTCTAAAAAATTGACTGTGTTAGATAGGGTAAAGTAATGTGGTTGATTCTCAAGGAGGGCAACACTTGCTACACCATTCTCTGCAACAGCATTTTTGTTGGATCTACGGAAAGATTTATACAGTATTAATTATATCTACTTCCTTCCCAATAACAGTCACAAAAATTCAGAAATACTATTTTTACTCATTGTCTGGCATAATGATTTACGTCTGATACATGTTGACAGACATAAAGCTGTTGTTTTCCACTGAGACTATAATAGAGCTGTGGGAAATAATGTAGGAATTGGAAAATATAAGACAAATGAAATTATGATTTTTAAATTCTTAATTATTATTCTTTGAATATTTCTTTGTTCCCCACTAAGAACCTGGCTGAAAAGGAATAAGAAGTAGTCACCTTGAAGGAGGTGAGCATGGCCTCATTTTCCTTTGTAAATCCTAGTCTGCTTTCCCTCAGCTCAATATACAGACAGTGTCTAATCCAGAGAACAGGCAAATCTTTTCTACATGAACAAAAACACCTCTCTCTAGAGAGGTAAGTGATTGTGAACACATTCCTTTTCTGAGACTTTGAAGGAAAAAGCACAAACCACCCAGGAACAAAAGACAAATTCCTCCTCAAGACATCAGCAGGACTCTCATATACTGCACATTAAAACTAGTCTAACAGATGGAGGTCTCTGTAAGCAAGAAGAGAAAAAGAAATAATATGCTTGTAATAGGACACAATTTAATGGACTTCAGTGGTCTCCTGTTACGACCATTGCTTCTTTTACAACTGCAACTGTGGAAGAGTAGTGTTAAACACATAGGTGGTCTTCCAGTACTCTTGGCTGAGATAAGAGGCAATAAAGAGGACACCTTGAAGTTTCAATTTTCAAGAAATTCCACTGTGTATTTGGATTACTATCAAATTAGAAACTAGGACACTCATGCGGTTCTCAGCGAGGTTTGAAACAAAACCCAAACCCCTATTATTAGTTTCTGCAGAAGCCTCAAATGCCTGCTGGAAATCTGACTTACAACTTCCTTTTTTCCATAAAATATTCCCTGTAGTAACTTATTTTCTTGAGAACTTTAGAAATGCATAGGTAAGGTTACGCAACTCAATCTCTCTCCCAGTCAAGCACTACAAAGAGAATTAAACAGTTTAATGTTCATCCAAAAAGGTAAATCATCAGGCACAGCAGAAGGCTCCTATGGGAGCCATGACAACACATCAATTGTAAAGCAATCAGGAAAGTCACAGGGAATAAAAGTCACATCAGGAATCACCAACACAACCAAGCTGTCTGTACTTCACCTTTTCCAGACTAAGTATCAAACTACCTTCAGAAAGGCTGATACCCTAAGGGGACTGAGTTATTGCCCAACTACCAAGTTCTAATGGCTGACATTTTACTTATGGATGATCAAGCTTCTCTTAAGGGCAGCTATGAAATATTTGACTTGGGGGACTGAGATAAGGGTCACCTCAATTTTCACAGAGTTTGTTGTCCTGAGAGTTTGAGCTGGTGTCTGAGTCACATAAATTGTGCAAGGCTCCTCGTCTCTTATGGCCATCAGGACTAAAGCTGTCCAGGCTCTAGAATGCTTTCCTGCTCCAAAATATGATATGACTCAACTGACATGCTCTGATGGTATTCAAAACACTGAATAAGTAATTCAGTTAGGGGGAGAAATGCCTGCTGTGTTGCTGTGATTTTTTTTTTTTTTTTTTGGCAAATTGAACAAATTCAATAGAGGATTTGAGGACAAATTTCACAAATGAGTGCAAACTTTAGTCCTAGTGTCAGAAAAAGGTTGTTTGCTCAGTAACAGCTGAGCTGCTGCATTAAAATGTAACATGATCTAGGTTTGAGGGGGTAAAGATGGCATTTTTAGATACTGGCAACTGCTGCTATTACATAAAGGCTGAGATTAAGGAGTACCAAAATTATACTTCAAGTAGAAGCTGAAACTGCTCATTTCAAGACAGAAAAATGTTTTCCTTAAAAAAACAAGCCTTCCCTTACAATTGAGGCTCTTAAATTAGCATTTAAATCAAGGAGAAATATAAAGGGTAAAAATACTTGGTTTTTCTAGACTTAAAATGTGGTTTAGGCACCACAGAGAAGAGGGGTAGGAAAAAGCCACATACATGCAGAAATATAAAAATGTGTCCGTAACAGAATACAGAAAAAGGTATGCATAAAGTCTCAAAGAGAAAGCAAAAGAGAAAAAAAACACAAAATGTGCTGGAAAAGGAGATATACAAATGGAGATATTCAGTTCTACAAATAATCTCCATTTTTTTCTCAGCATGAACTTTATATTTTGATGATTTTAGGTAGGTGAAGTTAGCATCCATTGAATATTAAGATTTTTGGATATCCTATTATGTTGTTAGTTTAAATGTTGAAGCAGGTTAATTTCTTTGCTGAAAATCTAGCCATCCTGAAATTACCAATAATTATTTTTATTAAGTCATTGCAGTTCATATTTTATCCTGAATTCCTCTGGGTAGATAAATTTTGCCAGCTTCTGCCGTATACTGCCTGTAGTGAGAGAGAATCTGAGGAGAAGAACCTTGAATGCATCATTTGAAAGAAACATCCAGTTTTCATTCTCTCATACATTTGAAGAGATGGAATCAAGAAGCTCCGGACCTGCAGAAGGCATCTTGCAAGCACATGTAACAGTGGATGACGTTTACGAGAAGGAAACCCTCAAATACTCAGTTTCAGAAGTGCTCACTGTGACTCACATGGGTTTCTTCCAGACCACATGGCAATATATGGAAAACAGATATCTTAGGAAATTATTAGGAAAAAGAGAGTAACAGTATTACCTAACACATAAAAGCAGCTCCTACTTAACCTGAACTCCCTCATCTGCATGGAGTTTATTGCCTCGTTCCACACCGATTAATCTCAGCTACTTAAGTCTAGGCAAAGCATGGTAACTTGCAATTAATAGTAGATAAAATCATGCCTAAGCAGTCCAAATTTAGTTAACACGTTATTATCAACCCTCTTGAGTAATGATCTGTTTGGTCTGTGATCACCTCTTTACCCACTGTGTTTGTTCTTTCCCCTTGCTTGCCCTTTTTTTTTTAAGTTTTCTTCCATGCTGCTCCTTTGGCACAGACTTTAATTCCCCCTCTGATCAATCTGGGATTCATAAGCCACTAAGTACACTCTTGGAAACATTATCTCCAAAGGATGATGAAGCACTTCAAGGGATGATGATTACAGCAGCACATCTTTTTCTCCTGCAGTACGTGATAGTGAGTGCTGTCACAGCACACGAACAGGGTGGCTAACACTGCAAGAGCACAGGGAATTACTTATTTCTCTCTGCTTTCCTCCAGTCTCACAGACTTTAAACTGGCATTGCCTCTTTTTATATGAAAAGATCAGCAGCAGTTCCTCTGGAGCTGAACATACAGTTTTGAATAGAATCAGGTTCTGCCCATCTTTTATGAGAGGGCTAATTTTTTTGGGGTGGCAGATTGTTGAGCATTATGCATTTCTGAGGGGAACCTGATCCAAAGGGGTACATGCCAGTCACAGCTGCGCAGCTCCCACTTGCTGAAGCAGAGAATTATGTGTGGCAAATGTATGTGTGGGATAAGCAAAGAATATAGATGAAAATACTGCTTAATGTTTTTTACATAGTACTGAACTGGATTTTTGCATACATAACAAGAGTACCATTTTCCCTCATAATAAACCACCCAGCAGCACCAACTGCCTAGCATCCACTGAGAATATTCTTCCTTCCAGCTGATTTCCTAGGGAGACAACTTGACCCAACAGTTCTGCGTATCAGACCTCCCACCTCACAAATTTTGAACCTGGTAGACAATTTCAACCGCATTTTTAAGTAACAGTAGAAATCTCTAAAGATAATTCAGTTCCTTTATGTTTGTAAAAAAAAAGGGTTCCGGTAGGGAATAGTCAATTTGAGACTCCTGTGAGAAAGAAGAAAAGGCTGAATGCAGTCTGTGGGGAAGGACTGGATGTGACAGACAGACAGAATTATGGCAGTGGGTAGGAATTAGTAGGAATCCAGACCTCATTAGTCCCACTGCTCATGAAGTAACTTGTTTACCTAGACACTACAAGTGTTATTTTTTTAAATCTGTGTTTTTTGACAATCTTCTATCATAACTTTTTCTTGATTTATATCTAGCTAACCCATTTTCCATAATTTCAGGAACTGCATCTATCATCTGTTGCCAAAACAAGCAAATCAGAGCTGTTTTTCAGTGGACTCTGTTTTGCAAATACTTTCATTTAATTGACTTGCAGCTATCAAAGGCACAGAAATGATAGTGAGGATAAAAGCAACAATTTCCTAGCACAGTCTAGATTTGTATGACTGTTTAGTTGTAATTTTCTGACATCTTTCCTTTAAACCTGCTCTTACCATGAATTGCTTAATGATTTAGCTGTTTTCTTAAGAGCTCTGCATGAAAACATTTGAATAAATTTTCTGTGTTTCTCTTGAAGAGGCAAGGACATTTCTTAATGAATGTGAAAAAGAATGCTCTATGTAATTATGAAATTGTGGAAGTAGGGGCAAGAAAAAGAGAGAGAGAAAGAGGGAGGCAGAAGGAGGACTCTTTCACTAGGAAAAGTTTGAAAAACACTGAGACATATATTACTTCTTAATATGCAACTGAAATGCTTTAAGAACCAAGAGCCTATTCATTGTATTAGTGATTATTATTTGAGATGGAGGAATTTAATACACCTATCTTGAAAAATTAATAAAAAAAACCATTTCATCTGTAGTTTTTCCCACTTAAATCAAAGTTTGGATGTTAAGTCTTACTTTCAGTATTACAAGTTCGGAAAAAGTTGATTAGACCACAAGCTCACTGGCTTGTCCTCAGTGTTGAAGAGAGTTCTTTTATTTATAAAAATCTGTGTGTAATGCTATTTACTAGGACTAAACAGATAATTCAAACTGTGTGTCTCTTTAGGACACAGTGGAAAAATACCTTTTGTTTTCAGTCTCTGAGGTGACTTCTAACAAGAGGGTAATCCTAAAAGGTCATTACTAGAGTGTGTCCTGTTTGTGGGCCAGTGCTTGAACACTAAACACATTCTGTAAATTAAGCGATGCAAACACAGCTTTCTTGCTTTTCTTCTTCCGATGAAATTTTAAAAATCATCTCACAGAATAAATAAATTGGTCTGAAAATAATCACATGTTGCAAATTTCTGGCACTTACTCAGAATGATATTTTTGAACAGCAGTGCACTGTTTTCCTTTTGGTTGCTGACCACTAGCCTGAGATAAAATTTGTGTTTATTTGAAATACACCTTACCTGTGTCTCTGGGATGATAGGACTATCTTCAGGAGAAATTCTAAAGAAAGTGGATAAAGGTGATGACACGATAACAGGGTTTGGCCTTACAAATCCGCTTAGATCACAACTGGGAATGTCATTCTCTTCCTTCTTCATGACAAGGGTATCCATGACATAAAAGACATTCCAGGGAATCCATACTGTGTGATACTGTGTCAGGAATGGTGATCGCTCAAACACCAGTGTCAGAGAGGCACCGCCATTTGCTACCAAGTCAAACCTAGGAAAAAACCCCAAGAGGGCTAGCTAGTCAGCAAATTCCCAAAGCCACCCACAGCCTCTATTTTACTGATTGATTCTTCATTCCATTGTACTGCTCTGAATGCAGAATAGCTCTATTGGGAACAATGGAGAAATCAATTAAATTACATTATACTGCACAGAGAGAAGAGAATTTGGGATGCTGTGTTTAAATTAAGCAAGTCCTTCTACTTCTAAAGTATATAATAATCAGTATGTTTTACATTTTAAAAATGTACAAAGTACAACTTTAGTCAATCAGTCTGCTAATGTCTTTTTTTCCTGTTATTTTATTATCTCAGTTTTACAAGCAGCTCTTCAGTAACATCTTTGCTGTCTTTATGACTTATAAGCACTTCAAAAGGAACTTACATTCCATCCTGGCGAGTGATTGTATATCCATAGTCTGGATAGTGTAGGAAGGAAACATTGACTCCAATGAGTGGTGTTCCATCAGCAGTTAATACTTGGCCTCTTATGACAGATGCAAGACTGTGAAAAAGATGCAGGATCAAATTACCAGTTAGGGGGTTTTTGTTCTTTTTGCATGAATAAAAGCTAGTGAGTGAACACACACACATCCACCCATACCCAGCTACCCACCCTTCTCCACATGCTATCAACATTCATTTAAAAAACATTCCTCAGACTCTAACCCTTTTACAAGATCACATAATTTACACTGTATAAACAAATGTCTTAGAATCCACAGATAATAATTTTGTTTCAGTATGTTGATTTTACTTGGGTTTATTTTGTCTGTACTGAGTTACTTAGATCAGAAATTAACTGAAGAATTTTAAGAACTTATAAACTCTATAGGTTCTCATTCTAAGTCATATTTCTGGCAGACTCTTAAAGAAAAATGTACTTTTCAATTAGTATCAAAGCAATCTGTAAAGCTGCAGGGACTATGAAGTACAAAATTTAAAAGAGCAATAAGGAACATTGGTGCAACAACTTTTAATCAACTGCTGTGCCCAAACACATTAATGCTGTTAAATTACTGCAAACGCAGTAGTTCTAGTGTAAATCATCTTCTTTCACTCAGTGAGATCCCAGACACCTGCTTCCTGTTACTGGCTTATTTTCAGGTCATTACTGCTTCATAGAGCACCAGTCAAATAGTTTATGCAATTATACTGTCATGCACTTAACAGTTCTATTACATTAATTCATAATTTATATTATTTAGTGAGCTCAGTTTAAAAAGTGCAGCTTTGCTTTTCCTTCTGAAGTGTTTTCATTGCTTTGATATATTTCCAACTGTGCTAGCCCAAATCAACTGGTTAAATAAAGATTTATTTAATCATTAATGAAGTGCCCTGTTAGAATACAGATACTAAGCATGGCAAGTACCTTCTGGAACCTAGTGGCACTGGTAAATTGAATTTTGCAGGAAATGAGACAAAACAAGCAATTCGATATATTAAGAGAAAAGGTCTTTTCTCAAAATCCACACCAGAAATTCACGGTCATAGCAGATCTTCTCCTCACATGAACCTCACACTCTCCAGTTTCTTTTGTGTTCATGAGTACAAGATAAGTCATGCTCACCTCTTATTAAAAGGGCTTTCCCCAGGTATGACATGGGTGCTGTCTGTTCCGATGAGGAAACTGATCCGGTCATAAAACGCTTTGGCAGCTTGCTGAGATGGCGACTGCTGGCTTTGGCTGATGATATCTTGGGGATCAGGCAGTCCACGACAGTACGGCTGGTTTTGGCAAGAACTCTGCAAACAGCAGTCAGGATCCATACAGTCAACTAGCCCATCTGTTGGCAGAAAGTCACACAAATGAACAAACTCTTCCTCCTGCCCCCGTGCATTGGAATGAGCCAGCCAGCAAGGAGATGAAAAAGTTATGTAGTATGAAAGAACACTCATAATTAAGATTTTGATGAATTCATTTTCAATTAAAGAAAGAGAGTTTGTTTCCTCTGAGTTCTTAAACTCCCATGGAAATCCATGCAAGCTGAATATACTCAGTATCATGTAAAAATGAACCTATTTATTCAATACTTTCCTAAAAACATTTTGAACAAACCAGAAAATGAAGGCACTGAGGCTCTACATACACTGTTAACTTACAAATATTAAACATTTTAGGCAGGCCTAATTAGCTTTTATGTGAGGTTATTTGACTTGCTAGAGAAAAGAAACAAGTAACTCCCATTCTGCTGTTTTCCTCAAGTTTTTTTAGCAATATCTATGCTGTAAGTACCTTTAAATATTTCACAACATGTATCAAGGTGGATTGCTTTATACCTTAGCAGAAAGATTTTGTTGCTAAAGGCAAGGCAATTTCCACAAGTTTTTTACATGAAAATGTATGAGAGAACAAAATCTGTATTTAACATTTAGATTTTATTCTGAATAAACTGATGGGAAATGCTGGCCAGTATAAACAAGATTTAAACACATGGGTGCTTTTATGCTTATGTGCTGAAATATTCCCATATGTGGAACATTAGATCTGCCACATCACTGGAAATCTAATTTGATGAAAGATTAAAATCAAGATCAAGTTGATAACTACTAATTTGCTGTAAGTAAAGTCATAAGGAAAATGAGCCTGGAAATGTCAGCTACAGAAAATTTCTAGATTAATGTAATCTGGTATCACAGAGCTGATAATTGTTTCCCCAAAAGAACAGCAAGACTGAAATAGCTCAAACATTTTATTATTCCATTTAGATTAGAGAGGGAGCTTGCTTCACTGAACTGAAAACTACACCAATGCAGCATTCAGAGGAAACCCATAACTGCTTGTCTCACAAAAGAATCTGCCTTTAGAGTAAAACTTCTTTCTGAAGGGAAAAATATCATCCATTATTGTTCAATCATATGTTAAAAGAATGTAAGTAAACAGAGATCTTCTAAAGGTATTCTTCTAAGTATTGCTGCGCTACATGGATCAGTTAGAGGACTGGCAAAATAGTAAAGGAGTGGGATTTCTGTTCTTTCTCACATCTAAAATTCTTATTTAACTTGTCTGACTTTGAAATCAGTTCAGGGAAAATAAAAGGGCTAAAAAAAGCATCATTGAGTATATCAGAGTTTAAACTTTTTTAAGAGACAAAAGAACCCATTGATTTTTCCTGGGATGAGGATATGCCAGAGGGTCACATTGCCATTCAGATAGACACTGACAGGCTGGAAAAATGGGCTGACAGGAACCATGTGAAGTTTCTACAATAGGAAGTGTGAAAGTGCAAAAATCTGGGGAGGGACAACCTCCTGCACAGTAACATAGCTTTGTGGAGAAGACCTTGGGAGTCCTGATGGACACAAAATTAACATGAGCCAGCAACACGCCCTTGCAGCAAAGAAGGTGCCAACACCTTTCTGAGATGTGCTAGGAGTGCACAGCTCTGTGTGCAGGCTGGGCTTTCTGGTAGAAGAGACATGGACATCCCAGAGGAAGCTCAGTGAAGGGCCAATGAAGACTGTTAAGGGCTTGACACATCTCTCCTACATGGAAAGGCTTGAGAGAGTTGAGCCTGGAGAAGAGAAAGCTCAGGGGGGATCTCATCATTATGTACAGATACCTGATGGGAGGGTGTAAAAAAGTCACCTTCCAGTGGTGCCCAGCAAGAGGAACGAGGAAATGGCCACAGACTGAAACACAGGAAATTTGATCTAAAGGGCAGAAAAACTTTTTTTTTTTTTTACTGTGAAAGTAGCTGGATGCTGCAACAAGTTGCTCAGGGAAGTTGTGAAGTCTTCATCCTTGGATTCAAAACCCAACTGGGTACATACCTGAGCAACCTGCTCTAGTTAATCTGGCTTTGAGTAGGGGGTGGGACTGGATGGTTTCCAGAAGCCTTTCTAGTCTCTGACTAGATTTTCTAGTCTCATTCTTGTAAAATATGAAACCCTTTCTTAGCTGAAGTACTTGTTGGTTTTTACTCCAGAAGTCTGGATTAGTGTCAAAGCTGGGGGTACTGATGGTTAAGAGAGTATTTTTTGGGTATTATTTACTTGAATGGTCCCCCATGCAATATCTGGTGCAGTTGCCAAAGAAATGCTCGAATTTCTCCATTCATCTTTGTTAGTTTATAAAAAGCAAATGTACATCTGGCATATAGTCTGCAGGTCATAAAACTGCATGAAATTGACACCTTCTGAACTAATCAGCTGGAAATGCATTTTTACAAGCCTCTCCACTAACATCAATCAGAGAAAGAATCTCATTTTCACCAGCCAAGATACAGGGATATGCTGTTTGTTATTTTCCTGTGGAGTTTATCAGCAACTTGCCCAGGCGAGTGACGGATGGTTATGAATCTGGCTCCTTATAACTTGAGAAAACATTTTTCATTCTCCCTCTGTACTTATGCAGCTAGAGCTATCTAGTACCACTGAGTCAAGTACTCTATTGCACTGTGTGAAGCAGAGTAAAATTTTCTTTCAGAAATGGCTCTGTAAAATTATTGGTGAATTTTGTTTAGCCTGAAAAATATGAGACTTAGGTTCAACAGTGCCTTGTCAGTTATATCACTCAAATGTGACAGTGAAATTATAAAGAAAATAGAAACTCCTACAGGCAGCTGGGCAGCCATTATCAGTCTCAGAAGGCTATTTATATTTTCTTGTTCTAGATGTAAGTGGTTCTATATACAAAAGATGTTATAACCACTTTATTGTTTTCTTCCTCAAAAGCTAAAGTCTAGCTGTAAAAATCTTGACTAATGTTACTTTTCCCTTTGTTACAAAATACAATGAATTGCATTGGAGCATGGACTGTTGATGAAATTGCTTATTTGGAGAGATTCATAAAACCATCAAAACTCTGCTCTTGTGAGACCCCACCTGCAGTTCTGTGTCCCGCTCTGGGGCCCCCAGTGCAAGAAGGACACAGACCTGTTAAGGTGAGTGCAGAGGAGGCCTGGAAGATGACTGGGGGCTGGAGCACCTTTCCTATGATAATAGGCTGAGCAACTTGGGGTTGTTCAGCCTGAAGAAGAGAAAGATCCAAGGACACCTTGTACACCCTCCAAGTACCAGAAGAGGGCCTGCAACACCTGGAGAGGGATTTTGGACAAGGGCAGATGGTGATGGGACAAGGATGAATGGCTTTACACTGAAAGAGGGCTGGTTTAAATTAGATATAAGGAAGAAATTATTTACTGTGAGGGAGGTGAGGCACTGGAACAGGTTGCCCAGACAAGCTGTGAATTCGCCATCCTTGGGAGTATTTAACACCAGGTTGGATGGTGTCTTGAGCAAACTGGTGTAGTGGAAAGCGTCCCTGTTCATGGTAGGGGAATTGGAACTAGATGATCTTTAAGGTCACTTTCAACCCAACACAAGCTTTCACCTCTCCAGTCTCTCTTTATGTGATTAAATAAGAGGAGTCAAGACAGAGGATCCTTGCAATGCATGTCTTAAAAATAAGATGTATCAGTAGGACTGTTTGCTTTTGAATGAAAAAAACTACTGGAAGGAAGAAAAATGGAGGGACAAAGTAAGTCCTGGGCAAAAGATCTGCCAATGTCAAGGGGAGATGGTACCCAAGGACCTACATAAATCCCAGCCTTGGTAAATAAGTTGATTATATATTTAGGAAACAAAAATCTCCATAAAGTGAAATTCAGTGCCTACACAGGAAGAATATAGTTTTGCAACTATGATGCTCGCCATTCCACCAGGGCAATTTTGGTGACTGGCAAACTAAGGCCAGAGACAGGAAAGGAAAGCAAACTGTATAAACAAATCTCAGTTATCCTTACATACCTCAATTTTACAAAAGGTTATAATGAATGCTTCATTCATCAAAATGACTGCTTGTAGGAACAGCTGGTCAGAAAAGCCAGAAAAACACAAACAGCCCTTGATTTATTCCTAAACAGTGTGCAAGGGCCTTGCTCAATGTTACTATTACAGTAATTCTACAAGCATACCTGTAGTATACTGAAATTCAGCTTTACTGTTGAGTGAAGAAGCCTAAAATATGAAAATGTGGGGCTCCAAATGAGTTCTCACTCTAGAAAGAAATATTGGAGCCACTGTGGATAAGTCCCATGATATATGAACTCAGCATTCACCAGCTACCATAGATGCAATCAAAAAAGCTGAAGAATAATGGGAAGTGTCAGAACACAAGCCAGAGAACATAAGCATGCCACTGTATCACTCCTAGTTCAAGTAGATACTTCCTGAGATTTCCTTAGCTTGGATTATCTTTGCACTTAGCAACTCTTCTGATATTCAAAACATTCTGTGGCAGTAATTCCTCACTTTAATTAGCAGCCTGTTAGCATACGAAAGAAAATGTAAGTTCACATCTACCCTATTATAATGTTTTGCTAAGCAACTGCTATTAGCCACTATAATAGAAGAGGTTTAAGCAATCTTTAGGCTGAATTTGTACTATCCTGTGAGGTTTGCCAGGAACAGGCTGTCCTAGACTATGTAAGCAATTAAAAAAATACAGTAAGACTATGTATATTTTGCTTTATTACAGTATTTGTTTTCATTTCAGCAAAGAAAGAATATTAATGATCCCTTAAATTTTACTTGTGGAAACCTGTAACTATGCTAAATAATTGGATAGGACCTAAGACCCATCTAAACCAAAGAGTAAACAGCAACTCTGCCTGTTTCTTATTCTTCCTACAGCGATAACAAAGCATGGCCCACTTTGTTCAAGTCTAATAGTGGCACCTCTTTTCCCCAAGAAGTCAGGCTTATTCCACCCACAGACAGCTCTAACTTCCCTCTCCTCACAATTTCATTAGGAGTTTAATTCAGACTAAGATCTGCTTGATGCACACACTTTCCTTGTGGGCTGCTAAAATGTAAAGAAAAATCCAGTCAAGCACAGGGGAAAATAAAGAGTCAGTCTTAACAAGAATGGAAATTATTTCCAAGACTCTGAAAAATCTGTATTAAAAGGAAGGTAAGTATTACACATCATATGTCAATAGTACCTAGAAGAGGAAATACTAAGGTATGCTTTGATGCCATTATGATTTCCTATGGAGAATATTGCCATTGGGATCCTTAGGATGCTCATGTTCACAGAATTTGAATAATCAGTCCCAGAAAGAGCTAAGAATCAAAGGAACAGCTGACACTTTTTTAACAAACTGTGCTCATACTAATATATAAAATATATTCTACCCAGTGTAACCACAGCCTATCGAACAGGCAACAACTAAGATAACTTTAATTATATAACCACTGAGACTAGTGAGATGTAGATCACACTACCCACAGTCATACTATAAATTCATCACAAGTGCTCAGATAACGTAATCTCCCATGACAAACAAATACAGCAGAAGAATACTTGTGCCAGAAGAATGCTTGTACACCCTGTAGCTGTCTGAAATTTTAATGGCTTGTGTGGAGATTAGTGCGTTGATAGAAGGAAAGGGAAGTAATACTTCTTCTCTTTTCAGGTAGTTTACAAAGGAGACTTTCTTTCCCTAGTTTTGTTAGGTATGATTCAATTTTTAATTTATTTGTTAAAATCTGTTAAATTTTAACCCTTCTCCTCAGCCACAATGACTGAAGTGAATATGCATTGTACTGAAGCATATAAATTAAAAAAAGAAATGCCACTGACAAACAGCATTATACAGACCAATCACAGCAAAACAAGTGCTTGGCCAACCCCTTCCTCATGCATAGTTCTACAATGATGTCCATAAAGGCAATATGAAAAAAGGAAATGAGAGAAAAAAATCAACAAAATATCAGCATTGGCTATTTTTCCCCAAAATCATTCTTTCTTCTTAAAATCACCCTGTTAGATTGTTCTGCTCCAATTCCTTGTTCCTTTTCCCCACAAGAAGCTATTATTGTTTTCAGTCTGAAGGAGAAACTTCTTTTATCTTTTTCCATTTACATGCAGTCCTGTTTACCTTCTTCTTCCTCCTACCACTCCATTACCTGGTCCTGACTGTTGCTGTCATACGTCACATCTTATATGATCTTTAACATTTATTTAATCTGTTTAGTCTACTACTGGGCTTGTAATGCATTTTTTTCCCCCAGCATAATCTATTTTTTTTCTTCAAGTTGTTCATCCTTCCACCTAGTTTCTCCTCTTCCACTCTTTGTCTCTCTTCATGTTTGCAGGTTTCTCTTTTTTCCTTATCTTGTAATTCCTTGGCCCACCTGAACTTAATTCCCCAAACAAGCACATCTCTGCTGGAACCTGGGTTAGACTGTTTAGGCCCCTAAGTATGGAAAACTGCCTCAAAATATATAATATGTAATGGAGAAGGATGACAAGCCAAATGATGCATACATCGTTGGATCACACTTGTAATGGTGTTATTTTTTTTCTCAGGAAATAAACGCTGCTGTTATTTATGGTTTGTGATGCCTAAGATCCCAGCTGCAGTAGGGATATGACAGCAAAGAGTCAACAAGCAATTGCAGAGGCATACACATTCTAAAACGGAAAGACAAAGTCCCAGATGGCTTTATCATCATCCAGAGGCCCTAATGAAGTTTTTTATCTTTTCTCTGAATCTGAAGGTGTTAAACAAAAAGAATTGATGAGAGAAGGGGAAGAAAGACAGACAATAAAAGCATTATGCTGATCTAATATTGGACTGCATTCACATTTACTCTTGTCTTTGTGGATTTTTTTAATGAGACTCTGGAATCATGCTAAGTTACAGTCCCTCTAGCTTCCCTAGACTACAACAATAATCATAGATTGATTCCTTAGGTTAGCAGTCTTGCCTGCATCTTGCTGCAGATTACCTGTCACCTGAATGACAGACTGTGGAAAAGTAAGCAAAAAAAAAAAGCATCCTGTCAGTTATGTGAGCATTCACAGGCTATAGAGACATAAGATCTCTGTAGGCTGGGTAACCAATTGTTTCCAGCAATTGCATCATAGTACAAAACGTGAACTCCCAGTTCAGCCTTGGGACAATTTCCTTGTGAGGTCACCAAAATTTTGAACTCCTTCCTTTTTTTCCCCTCTACAACTGTTCACTGAGTTGAAACTACGTTTTTTTCCAGTATAAAAGAACACTGCACGAAAACTAAGGTTTTCTTATCTTTTTCTAAGTACACATCTCACCTGTCACATGCAGCTTGTAAGGCTTTGCTGATATGCTGTAAAGAAGTACCGAAGACCATGGCATATTCTTACAGACATAAGTGCGAGTCAAATGTGTGTATGGTTCTCATGGGCAGTATTTAATCACCTGATGGAAAAATCTCCATTCCTCAACATGTTCTCCCCAGAGTTAAAGATCCAGTTGGTGTCTCTTACCTCCTTCGTTGTCCTTACTGTCAGTGCAGAGAGTTTCCATGGCTACGTCACAACCTGCTCCCCTCCATCCTGGCTGGCAGACACAGTGCCAGCCATTTTGGTCCAGTGTGCATCTCCCATTGCTGTTGCACAAACCAGGGCAGCCCTCTGTTGAAACAGACAAAGAAAAAGCACAAGTGATTTAAATATTGTAATAATATAAAAAGAAAAGAAAATACAAACAAGGGACACTTACTGGGAACAGGCCTTAAGAACAGCACAAATACTGTAATTGCACATGGAGTGGAACAGCAACATTACCTGGGGAACGTAATTCTTAACAAAGTGGCATCTTTGATTGGCCTGACACTTGAGACACCACTTACCTGTACAGGCAGGAAATAAATGCATCAATCCTCTAAATACCTGCAGGCCAGACAAAATTAAGTTTGTTTTTTTAATTTTTTTTTTCAAAGTAACAAGAGATGAGCGCATAGTGCAAACACAGCTGTGTAAAATGATACATTTTTCTGTGCTCATTATTTGCTCTATGCAGTATTGATTAATTACTGGCACAAATGATAAAGCTCCCTGTTACTACGAACAAATCCCTCCAAATTCTTCGGCAGGAAAATGGGTATGATTTTAGGCAAGTAATAAAAGAGAAGGTTAACTTTATCTGGTCTCAGAGTTGCCGTGTATTCATGTGAAATTACAGTGCGTTAAATAATTGCACAAAGTATAGGCCAGTTTTAATGACTATACTTTATGCCAAAAATACATTCCTTTTCACAGAATAAGCAAAGCCCAGGAATAGTGAAGCAGCTTAGCATCTATTCTAACAAACATTAGGATTCAGGCTGCATACGGATGGGACAGGACCAACAGGATTTCCAACTTAATGTAATAGCTGTGCGTATTTGATTACTTAGGACGGACAAAATGAAATACCATAAGGACCACAATAAACATTGATAGACTGAACAAAAACACGGTAGTGACGTGCTTCAAGACAGATAGCAGAAAGTGATTTTTTGTGACAATCTCCCTAAGGCTTTTGTGCTGTTACCTTTATATCCTATCTTGTCTGCTTTTATGGCCAAGGAGGGAAAATTTGGGAAACAATTAACATAATTTAATATATCCAAAATCGATAATTGTTTTCAGTCTAACATTGCATTAAAAAACACAGTTTCTGTCACTTCCTAGTGATGAAATCTGGCATGCAGCCAACATGATCTGTATGAGGATGACAACGCTATAAATATGTAGACTTCGGTGCTCCTTATCTATGACTATGATAAGACACTGACAGAAGCAAGTACAGATATGGCACTAACTATCTTATGAGAAGGTGGCTACAAATCAGATATTTCTGTACACAACAATTTTCTGCAAACTTTCATCCAAAACCCCTAAGTAACAGGGTAAACAATTACTTTTTAGGACACCTGTCTTTGTCAACTAACCTACTGATCCATTTTGGTTAAGCTTAGAGTGGTTTTTCAGAAGTAAGTTGCTTTTTTCTTCTAAAGAATTTTGAATTTACTGACTGTTTTCACCCTTGTAGCTCCAAATTAAAAACATAGAGAAAGGAGTTATAAAGGGTGCTTAACTCTTGTCAAATCACTTTTAGAAGGCAGAGAATCAGGAAAACATCTTGTGAGGAAGGATGGGGATGCTACAGTTATGGATGCTGTGCCATCACGCCAGGCTGAAAAAAAATTAGTCTTCCTACTTTTTATTCTTTCAGACTGCAGCTGCTAGTAGTATCTGTTAATGTACTGAGATCTATTATTTTCTTAATATTTTTCTATTCAACTTATGGAAGACTTACATATATAATTGCAATACTGACAAAGCAATTTAGGAGTCAACTGGGTACACTCAAGACTTATTGTGTGAAAGCCTGGATATTGCCATCAATATTGCCATATTCTAATGAAAAAACACACGGAATAGAGGAAGATACTCAGGGAAAGAGGGGTAGGAATATTTTAAACATTTTTCTAAATCAATTTTTCACCATAACTGAAGATACAAGAATCTTTGCTGTTTCATGTTAGGCTTTTGCATCCTTGAACCTCATAATTCAGAATGTTGCATAGACTATAAAAGATTTTTCTAGACTCATACAAGATACAAGTCATAATTTCCTACAGATTTTCTACATTCAGATAATCAAAAGCTTAAAAGCCTTGGGAATTCTATTGATGTGTCAGAATATAAACACACTCAATATTATCACTTTGCTTTGTTTTCTTAATATTTAGGGTTTTGTAGGTAAAGGTCCAATGACAAAACTAACAAAAAAAAGTTCCAAACAGCAAATGAATACTATCTTCAGTTATTGATTCAGATTAAATCTAATACATGTATACAGTTTGTACATAAATGTATAATTACTGATAAAGTGTTACCATATAACAGAAGCAAAATTTTGAGATGAGTTGAAAGCCATATGAGTTATATATAAACCATGGAATGTATGTAAGAGAAGATTCTTCTGCCCAGACTAGTATGTTTTTAACTATATATTAATATAAAAAAAAAACCAAACCATGTAGATAAAGTAATGTCAAAGAGCAAATATACAGTACCTTTAACTATCTTATCCAAATAGTGAGCTTGAGAATTAAGAAGAAAAAAAAAACAGACAGACATTTCAGAAGTGTCACATGAAACAAGAACTGTTCAGAATTCACATGCAAATCAAGCAGGTGCACCTAACATGAGAGGTCTTACATTACAAAATGAAAATGTATTTCAAGGCTTTTAAAAATGCAAGAAATTCTCTTTTCAGCAAACATCGTCATGAATCAATGAAACTGTTTTAGAAAGTAGGCCTCCAAAAGCAAAAGGGAAGCTACATTTCTGAGACTACATTTTCTTCTGACTTCTCTTCACATGCTTTGATTTTTTTATATAACAAAAATACAATCAAAGCTAGTTAAAAAATTCAATTTTTAGCACAATGTAAGAGCAATTCCTTAGCTTATGAGCCTCAAAACACTAACCATGTGGGAAGATTTTTGATTTGCAGGTCACTCATGACTGACAGCATAACCAGCACACTATCTTAATTCTCAATGGATTAACAGGATTTTTAGGATTTTTTTTTCTGCTTCAATTCAGTCACATTTACTTTTCTGAGCACACAAACAAAGTACGTAAAATAAGCTGTATTGTAAATATGGAGTGGAAGAGGGCATAGTGGGGTTAGTAGCATGATGATCCATTTCATTTTGAAAAGCAGGTGTAAATTAAACTTAGGCTTTAGACGTATAAAAATAAATAGCATGGTATATACAAGAATAGGAAAACTTCTTTTGTAAGTTATGACACTTAAGATTTCACAAAAGATTTGAGGAGGCAGATGGATGAACGACATACAGAGCATAAGATGGATTTCAAGCAGCAGGGCCTACTTTTAATACATGAGACACAGCACAGATGGGCAACATATTCCCTCCTTCCTTCCAGGAAACAGACAGCAACTGCAGTTGTGTGAAAGGGTTTAATGTCATATAGCAAAGCCACCATGTCCATTGGAGGTTACCAAGGCCAGCCACCTATGCCCAAGAAGATGGAAGGCTACAGACCACTGCAGCGGGGACACGCCTAGCAGAGCCAGAAATATTGGATTCAATCCCCTGGTTTTGCTGGGGACAAGGTCTCTCAACTCAGCCCTCATGGCCTCTCTTTCTTTTAAAATCTGACTTTCCTAAATCTCTGATGGATGACAGCCCCTGTCTGGCAAGTTCTCTGCCATTGCTAGGATCCCTTTGGATGGGCAACAAAGGCCTTTCCAGGTACAGCCTTTCCTCCAGTTTGGATGAACAGAAAAAAGCTACTCTGGATTCCAAGGAGGGATGTGATATATATCAGGAGGCGCAGTCACTGCTAGAACTAAGAGGAGGAAATTTTCTAGTTTCTTTTTCTTGAAGAAAGTGTCAGGTGTCCACTACACAGCTCTTTTTTGTTTTTCCCCTATAATGGTAAGGTTAATGCAAGACAAAGTAAGATGAAAACATCAATTACAGAACATTTAGCACAGCAGCAACAAACTAGGTAGCTCTTCACATTAAGCACAAACAAAAAGAAAAATGCTACAGCTACATTTCAGGGTGGATCAAATTCTTCTCTTACTCATCCAGTATAATTCCCCTTGCTCCTATACAGCTTAAAACATGGTGTAGTATGTGCAGAGGAAAAATCAAGCTTTATTTCATAAAATGAAAGCAATCAGGTCTGTCTGGGGAATTCATCTGTCCACCAGTAAAACATTAAATGCTCTATCCTCTACAAGTGTATGGATAGGTAACAGAACATTAAAACAACCTCCTAGGCAAGTGAAAACAGTCCCTGATATCCCAAGCCCCCCCCACTATTTATCTTCAGAATCCAATCCTCATTTAAAAAATGCAAACAAACAAACAACAACAACAACAACAACCTCCTAAACACAAGAGAGATTAAGAAAATGCTGTTTTAAGATTTTTTTTTATCCAGCAGTCTTATAAGAAGTCTGCTCCAAACCACAGAACTGTAGTGCTCAGAAAACAAATTCTACCTTCCAGCATCCTTTTACTCATGGTCAGTTGACATTAAGGACAATGTTAGAAACTATTTTGGTTAATATGCAGCATTGTAGAAAAACCATAAAGCAGAAAATTAAAGACAAAAAATTGTATAACTTTGCAGTGAACTTTAACTAGCCATGCTGTCTTCCTTATCTTCATGGCACTGCAACTGAAAGAGGAATGAACCTGTGTGGAAATACAAAATACAAGCCCTTCCTCCCCTCTGTATACAGAATTCCAGGTGGGATTTGGAGCACTTCAGTAGGATGGAGCATCTTAGCAGGTGCTCCTTGGCAAGATATTTACAGATCTGGCACATAAAGGTTATCTTACGTCCTTAAAAGGTCTAATTACAGACCAGACAATATACCTACAAGAGTTTTCTTGCAGATTTTAAGACTGTGCCATTTAAAATCTTGCTATTATCTCCAGAAGTAGAAGGACTTCATACAACTCCAAGTGGAAAAAAGAAAAACAAAAATGAAGGTGTAAGATTTGTACATTTTCTAGGCTACTCAAAGCCCAAGAAGATCCAAGTTGCATTCAAAATTCATACAAAACAGAATAGAAATTATGACATCATGCCATCGTGTGTGGGTATTTATATAAATATGTGACAGATAAATGATTTTACAAAGAAATGGTAACAGTCAGGCAAATTTGCATTTAACGAAGCATATTTCTTAACTAGTTAGAACCCTGACTTTTTATGAAAATTTATTTAATGCCTCCCATTAGTTTCCTATCAGAGAGATATAAGTCAGTGTCTTCCTTATTCATATACTACTTTCTCCAGGTATGACAGAATAGCCTAAGAATAAAAGTACATATTAAATCCATTTATTCCAATCAGCTCCTGTTTAAATCAGCATGAGTCACATACCCATTGATTTGATGTTCCTTAATTGGTACTTATAACACTGCTTTATTCTGATTATTCTGTCATGTGGGATTACAATGGTGACATGGTTCTAAATGCTGTATAGCAAATTTATATCTCTATTAGTTTAAATCATTATCTTCCATCAGACATCTTTGCCCATCATAATCTTTGTAATTTGTACACTAGACTGTAACATGCCCCATGTTTTTGTAATGTATATGTAGGCCTGTTACAGTGTCAACTCAATAGCTCAAGAGTCATGAATTACTTTGGTGAAAGAGCAGATTTAACCTCACAGCACCACTGGACATGAAGCAAAACCACAAATTAACATGACCAAAGCCATACTGACTAGGTCAGCCTAAATAAAAATACTTGTTTTTTGTTTAAAGTTTTTTTTTTTACTTTTGACACCTTGAAAGTATGAGTCAAACCCTTGCCTCCTCTCCACTAATACAATCAGCTTTCTCCCTTCCTTACTGCATTACAGCCTCTTTCTCTAAAAGAAAACAGAAGGAGAAAATAGAAAGAGAAAAGAGAACCAAAGTGGGGAAGAAAAGAAAGGAGAGATGATGAAGAAATAACTTCAGTATTGGCAACAATGAAGAATGCTGTTTGCTCCTCTCGGATCAAGCTCTGCTTTGCTCCCTCTCCTCATCTCCCACAGCTCCTTATCGCAGTTCCCGTTCCCTGGTGAATGACTGCCTAAGTATCTCTGCTGCTCTCACAAACTTCATGCTCTCAGATACAAATCCTCTACAGGAACATGTGAAACAGATACCTTGCGTCAGTCACGTTTACACTCTACATAACCTTGCACTAGGTATCATACAAGGAGCCAGCAGGTTTTTCTTGGAATAAAAACTGACCGTAAGTAAACTATGCTATGTTGTTACCATATTGTTTCCCTTAAGCTTTCCACATATTTATCTGTTCGTTTAGTGATAGAAAGTTTTAATATCATCACTTCTTTTCATTAATTTTTAATATTTGTATAAAAGTTTGTTTACAACCCATATGCCAAAAACCCCTGAACACATTAGAATGGCCATGACAGTGGCCATGTCAAGCATCCAAAATTTAGGCAATGATGGGTTTATGGCTACCTGTGCAAGTTTTATACACTTCTTCCCTTGTGAATGTGCAGAGCTCACCGTCCTCATTCAGCACTCATTCTCTCACAAACAAGTAGCTGATGCCCTAGTAGCAGGCACACTATGCTAACCTAAACAAAGAAGCAACAGTTCTCTTTCAGACTTTCCTCTCACCTTCCTCCCCAAGTCACAATTAATTAGCACACTATCTTCATACTACTAGTATGAAGAGAATACATTCTTACCTCATTTTACCAGTAACTAAAGCATAAAAACATCAGAGTGAGAAATCTCCATTCACTTGGCTATAAGCACCTATGATGTGATTCTCTGGAATACTTAAAATTATATAGCATTTCATACACAAACCAACATTTTAAGCAATTCATACATGTGCAAATCTTGCTCCCAGAAAGTGAAGAACAGCCAGATAGCACTTCTTTAAAGTCTGTATTTGTGGGCAACTAACAGAAAATACGTGTTAGAATCAAGGGTGGAATCCAGATCTTCAAAATCATCCTTAACCAGTTCATCCTGTGCACCAGCCTCTTCTTATGAACATTACTTTTTACTCCCTGTGCAGCCAGGCAGTACCAGGGGATGAAATACACACTTTATCAGCGGTTTCACAGGCACTTGCCAGTGGAAGAGAAAACTTACTGCAAGCTTTAGGGAGAATACAATTTGTAAACAAGTTTTGGTGCTTGTTTTGGGGGAACTGGTACAAAACCCAGAGCTGACAGCTCTGATCTGACTAATCTACTCAAGACTCAGTTCATGGTGGTCTAATCCTCCTGACATGGCTACCAGATCACCCTTATTTCCTCTCATTTCCACCCAGCTACAGTTTATTTTGACATTTAAACCACCTTTTGAACATAAAACCACAAATAACCCTTGTAATATTTAAATCTAGCATATCTTATCCTACCCACAGCAGACCTAGGGAATAGCATACTGATTCCTTTAGGTGACTGTTTCCCTCCCAAAAAATGACTAAAAAAAGCATGCATCCATATGCAAATTTGGAGGAGCTCCATGACTCTACCAAAAAAACTCACAGAAGT